GCTCAGAACCATCAAAAAACGTTGAAATATAGTTCAAATTCAATAAAAATCGACAAAAATACAGTTTCTAGCTAAAATTTGATGGTTTCGTTGCACTTTCCGAGCCCGTAGGGTATCTGATTGGCTTAAAAGTACAAGAAAACACTTCAAAAGTGACGTTTCTGAAGAATTTTAACAGTTTTCTTGTATCTACGAACGCCAGAATGCATAAAATTGACCTAAACGTCTCCTTTTCCTATTCTGAGTCGATTCTGCATGCTTTAAGTGTGTTTGGTGGCTCAGAACCATCAAAAAACGTTGAAATATAGTTCAAATTCAATAAAAATCGACAAAAATACAGTTTCTAGCTAAAATTTGATGGTTTCGTTGCACTTTCCGAGCCCGTAGGGTATCTGATTGGCTTAAAAGTACAAGAAAACACTTCAAAAGTGACGTTTCTGAAGAATTTTAACAGTTTTCTTGTATCTACGAACGCCAGAATGCATAAAATTGACCTAAACGTCTCCTTTTCCTATTCTGAGTCGATTCTGCATGCTTTAAGTATGTTTGGTGGCTCAGAACCATCAAAAAACGTTGAAATATAGTTCAAATTCAATAAAAATCGACAAAAATACAGTTTCTAGCTAAAATTTGATGGTTTCGTTGCACTTTCCGAGCCCGTTGGGTATCTGATTGGCTTAAAAGTACAAGAAAACACTTCAAAAGTGACGTTTCTGAAGAATTTTAACAGTTTTCTTGTATCTACGAACGCCAGAATGCATAAAATTGACCTAAACGTCTCCTTTTCCTATTCTGAGTCGATTCTGCATGCTTTAAGTGTGTTTGGTGGCTCAGAACCATCAAAAAACGTTGAAATATAGTTCAAATTCAATAAAAATCGACAAAAATACAGTTTCTAGCTAAAATTTGATGGTTTCGTTGCACTTTCCGAGCCCGTAGGGTATCTGATTGGCCTAAAAGTACAAGAAAACACTTCAAAAGTGACGTTTCTGAAGAATTTTAACAGTTTTCTTGTATCTACGAACGCCTAAATGCATAAAATTGACCTAAACGTCTCCTTTTCCTATTCTGAGTCGATTCTGCATGCTTTAAGTGTGTTTGGTGGCTCAGAACCATCAAAAAACGTTGAAATATAGTTCAAATTCAATAAAAATCGACAAAAATACAGTTTCTAGCTAAAATTTGATGGTTTCGTTGCACTTTCCGAGCCCGTAGGGTATCTGATTGACTTAAAAGTACAAGAAAACACTTCAAAAGTGACGTTTCTGAAGAATTTTAACAGTTTTCTTGTATCTACGAACGCCAGAATGCATAAAATTGACCTAAACGTCTCCTTTTCCTATTCTGAGTCGATTCTGCATGCTTTAAGTGTGTTTGGTGGCTCAGAACCATCAAAAAACGTTGAAATATAGTTCAAATTCAATAAAAATCGACAAAAATACAGTTTCTAGCTAAAATTTGATGGTTTCGTTGCACTTTCCGAGCCCGTTGGGTATCTGATTGGCTTAAAAGTACAAGAAAACACTTCAAAAGTGACGTTTCTGAAGAATTTTAACAGTTTTCTTGTATCTACGAACGCCAGAATGCATAAAATTGACCTAAACGTCTCCTTTTCCTATTCTGAGTCGATTCTGCATGCTTTAAGTGTGTTTGGTGGCTCAGAACCATCAAAAAACGTTGAAATATAGTTCAAATTCAATAAAAATCGACAAAAATACAGTTTCTAGCTAAAATTTGATGGTTTCGTTGCACTTTCCGAGCCCGTAGGGTATCTGATTGGCTTAAAAGTACAAGAAAACACTTCAAAAGTGACGTTTCTGAAGAATTTTAACAGTTTTCTTGTATCTACGAACGCCAGAATGCATAAAATTGACCTAAACGTCTCCTTTTCCTATTCTGAGTCGATTCTGCATGCTTTAAGTGTGTTTGGTGGCTCAGAACCATCAAAAAACCTTGAAATATAGTTCAAATTCAATAAAAATCGACAAAAATACAGTTTCTAGCTAAAATTTGATGGTTTCGTTGCACTTTCCGAGCCCGTAGGGTATCTGATTGGCTTAAAAGTACAAGAAAACACTTCAAAAGTGACGTTTCTGAAGAATTTTAACAGTTTTCTTGTATCTACGAACGCCAGAATGCATAAAATTGACCTAAACGTCTCCTTTTCCTATTCTGAGTCGATTCTGCATGCTTTAAGTGTGTTTGGTGGCTCAGAACCATCAAAAAACTTTGAAATATAGTTCAAATCCAATAAAAATCGATAAAAATACAGTTTCTAGCTAAAATTTGATGGTTTCGTTGCACTTTCCGAGCCCGTAGGGTATCTGATTGGCTTAAAAGTACAAGAAAACACTTCAAAAGTGACGTTTCTGAAGAATTTTAACAGTTTTCTTGTATCTACGAACGCCAGAGTGCATAAAATTGACCTAAACGTCTCCTTTTCCTATTCTGAGTCGATTCTGCATGCTTTAAGTGTGTTTGGTGGCTCAGAACCATCAAAAAACGTTGAAATATAGTTCAAATTCAATAAAAATCGACAAAAATACAGTTTCTAGCTAAAATTTGATGGTTTCGTTGCACTTTCCGAGCCCGTAGGGTATCTGATTGGCTTAAAAGTACAAGAAAACACTTCAAAAGTGACGTTTCTGAAGAATTTTAACAGTTTTCTTGTATCTACGAACGCCAGAATGCATAAAATTGACCTAAACGTCTCCTTTTCCTATTCTGAGTCGATTCTGCATGCTTTAAGTATGTTTGGTGGCTCAGAACCATCAAAAAACGTTGAAATATAGTTCAAATTCAATAAAAATCGACAAAAATACAGTTTCTAGCTAAAATTTGATGGTTTCGTTGCACTTTCCGAGCCCGTAGGGTATCTGATTGGCTTAAAAGTACAAGAAAACACTTCAAAAGTGACGTTTCTGAAGAATTTTAACAGTTTTCTTGTATCTACGAACGCCAGAATGCATAAAATTGACCTAAACGTCTCCTTTTCCTATTCTGAGTCGATTCTGCATGCTTTAAGTGTGTTTGGTGGCTCAGAACCATCAAAAAACGTTGAAATATAGTTCAAATTCAATAAAAATCGACAAAAATACAGTTTCTAGCTAAAATTTGATGGTTTCGTTGCACTTTCCGAGCCCGTAGGGTATCTGATTGGCCTAAAAGTACAAGAAAACACTTCAAAAGTGACGTTTCTGAAGAATTTTAACAGTTTTCTTGTATCTACGAACGCCTAAATGCATAAAATTGACCTAAACGTCTCCTTTTCCTATTCTGAGTCGATTCTGCATGCTTTAAGTGTGTTTGGTGGCTCAGAACCATCAAAAAACGTTGAAATATAGTTCAAATTCAATAAAAATCGACAAAAATACAGTTTCTAGCTAAAATTTGATGGTTTCGTTGCACTTTCCGAGCCCGTAGGGTATCTGATTGACTTAAAAGTACAAGAAAACACTTCAAAAGTGACGTTTCTGAAGAATTTTAACAGTTTTCTTGTATCTACGAACGCCAGAATGCATAAAATTGACCTAAACGTCTCCTTTTCCTATTCTGAGTCGATTCTGCATGCTTTAAGTGTGTTTGGTGGCTCAGAACCATCAAAAAACGTTGAAATATAGTTCAAATTCAATAAAAATCGACAAAAATACAGTTTCTAGCTAAAATTTGATGGTTTCGTTGCACTTTCCGAGCCCGTTGGGTATCTGATTGGCTTAAAAGTACAAGAAAACACTTCAAAAGTGACGTTTCTGAAGAATTTTAACAGTTTTCTTGTATCTACGAACGCCAGAATGCATAAAATTGACCTAAACGTCTCCTTTTCCTATTCTGAGTCGATTCTGCATGCTTTAAGTGTGTTTGGTGGCTCAGAACCATCAAAAAACGTTGAAATATAGTTCAAATTCAATAAAAATCGACAAAAATACAGTTTCTAGCTAAAATTTGATGGTTTCGTTGCACTTTCCGAGCCCGTAGGGTATCTGATTGGCTTAAAAGTACAAGAAAACACTTCAAAAGTGACGTTTCTGAAGAATTTTAACAGTTTTCTTGTATCTACGAACGCCAGAATGCATAAAATTGACCTAAACGTCTCCTTTTCCTATTCTGAGTCGATTCTGCATGCTTTAAGTGTGTTTGGTGGCTCAGAACCATCAAAAAACCTTGAAATATAGTTCAAATTCAATAAAAATCGACAAAAATACAGTTTCTAGCTAAAATTTGATGGTTTCGTTGCACTTTCCGAGCCCGTAGGGTATCTGATTGGCTTAAAAGTACAAGAAAACACTTCAAAAGTGACGTTTCTGAAGAATTTTAACAGTTTTCTTGTATCTACGAACGCCAGAATGCATAAAATTGACCTAAACGTCTCCTTTTCCTATTCTGAGTCGATTCTGCATGCTTTAAGTGTGTTTGGTGGCTCAGAACCATCAAAAAACTTTGAAATATAGTTCAAATCCAATAAAAATCGATAAAAATACAGTTTCTAGCTAAAATTTGATGGTTTCGTTGCACTTTCCGAGCCCGTAGGGTATCTGATTGGCTTAAAAGTACAAGAAAACACTTCAAAAGTGACGTTTCTGAAGAATTTTAACAGTTTTCTTGTATCTACGAACGCCAGAGTGCATAAAATTGACCTAAACGTCTCCTTTTCCTATTCTGAGTCGATTCTGCATGCTTTAAGTGTGTTTGGTGGCTCAGAACCATCAAAAAACGTTGAAATATAGTTCAAATTCAATAAAAATCGACAAAAATACAGTTTCTAGCTAAAATTTGATGGTTTCTGTAGTGTTTCTTAAATAAAACTCCATAGTTTCCTTGCCTTATTTAATACCCGCGATTATATACAAATAAAGAAACACAACTTCTCTAACTTAACGCTCTATTCGACGGCCATCATTGCTCTTCGTACTCTCGCGCATGCTCTCCACTGCGTGCGCCCACACCTATGCAACTACCTACACCACACTACTCTCCCCTTAAAAAATATATAAGAAAACTCCTTAGTATCGGAAACGGTCTGGCGGTTTCAATTGACTACGCCGTCTCAGCTTTGTGACTAAAGAGCTTTCTTTTGACAACTCTGTTTGATTATCCTGCACGTCCTGATCAATCTTACAATCTAAAAGAATTTTCCTATCCTCTACATAGTTCTTATCCTCAATATCTACATTCTTATCTAGTACATTCCGTAGTGCCCTATTGACTAACAGCTGATTTATATGTCGTTTCCACACATAACCTTCCGTTGTTTCTACTAAATAGGTGCGCGGCCCTAACACCTTGACAATGCTGCCTGCACACCAAGCTGGCTTGACGTGGCGATAATCACGTGCTAGAACAGTATCATTGACATGAAATTGTTGGGATCGCTTACCTTTATAATGTTTAACTGCCTGAGCTTGCTTTTGACGCCACGTTTGCTGCAAGCCTGCCTTACAAACATCTACAGCCCTGGTGTCGGGTCGTAACAAATCTAGTCTACATCTTAGATTCCTACCTAACATTAACATTGCTGGTGATTGACCAGTCATACAATGAACCGTATTTCTATAATCCAAAAGGAATTTGTTTAGCGCTAAATTAAAATTTGCAAGATTGTCATCTTTTAAACATTTGTATAACGCCCTCTTGACCGTTTTAACAGAATTCTCTGCTTGACCATTCGTAGCGGGGTGATATGGAGCTGATCTTTTAAATCGGATACCATTAACTCGCAAAAAATTTTCAAATTCTTCCGATGTAAAAGCTCTGCCATTATCCGACACAATGGTTTTGGGAAACCCAAACCTCGCAAACAAACTTCGCAAAACATTAATGGTTGCTTGAGTTGAGATGTTTGTCATAACAAATGCTTCTGTCCATTTACTGTACGCATCCACCACAATTAAAATTTGTTTATTGAAAATCGGTCCTAAAAAATCTATATGTATCCGTTCCCAAACTGAATCTGGAATCGACCATGGCATTAGTTTACTTAAACCAGGAGCCTCACGCAACTTTAAACAATTTGGACAATTTGCAATGAAATTTTCTATTTGAGTGCTCATATTAGGCCACCACACGTACGAACGTGCTAAACTTTTTGTTTTCACAATTCCCATATGAGATCTATGTAGTTCCTGAAGAATATTATGTCTCAACGCTTTTGGAACCACGACTCTATAACCAAACAAAATACAATTCCCTTCTACGGTGAGATTATTCTTGTACTGTTCGTACCCCTTTAACTCCTTGGTTATACGTTTCGGCCACCCTTTTTGAATATATTTCAACACCTTACTTAATGCCTTGTCCTTCACAGTCTCCGACGCGATACAAGCACTGTCGATAGGTAGGTCTGAGTTAGAAAAAATATAATTAAAATAAGTATAGTCAGCAGCTGGTTCCGTAAACTCGTCTGCTACTGGTAACCGCGACAACGCATCGGCATTATTATCCATTGACTTGATAAATCTAATATCGTACTCATAATTCGCTAATATTAACGCCCAACGCTGTAAACGATTCGCCGCTAAAACTGGTAAACCTCGTTTAGGGCCAAAAATTGTAACCAAAGGCTTATGATCTGTCTGTAAAATAAACTTATGACCGAAAAGATATTGATGAAACTTAGTAACACCGAATATAATTGCTAAAGCCTCCTTCTCTAACTGACTGTATTTCCTTTGCGCGCACCATAACGTTCGAGAAGCGAACGCTATTGGATATTCGACATTATTTACTACATGCGAAATAATAGCTGCAACCCCATGCTCTGATGCATCAGTCGTTAAAACTATTGGCAATGTCGCATCATAATGCGCTAACACTCGATCTGATGTCAATATTTCTTTTACTTGCACGAAAGCCCGTTCGCAATGCTCCGACCACACAAACTGTGAATCCTTCTTGAGCAATTCATATAATGGGTGCAACAGACTCGCATTATTAGGTATAAATTTATTGTAATAATTTACCAACCCTAAAAAAGCTTTCACTTGCTTAACATTCTGCGGTCGTGGAGTGTTCTTGACATCTCTCACCTTATCCTCACAAGGATGTAACCCAGTCTTGTCAATCACGTATCCTAAATACGTTACCCTATCTTGGAAAAATGCACATTTCGAAAATTCAATGGTTAACCCGCAATGTTGTAATCTAGTCAATACCGCGTGCACTCGCTCTACATGTTGGCTATAATTCTCTCCCGTAATCAAAATATCATCGAGAAAACAACACACCCCATCTAACCCTTGTAAAATCGTCTCCATTATTCTTTGAAACTTAGATGGTGCACATGCTAGCCCGAACGGTAAGCGCGTGTACTGAAATAACCCCTTATGCGTCGAAATTGTCGTAATTTCTCTTGACTGTTCATCTAACCCTATTTGCTGATAAGCTCGTGAAAGATCTAACTTCGTGAAGGTTTCTCCTTTCAATTTTGCAAAAATTTCCTCAATCCTAGGTAAAGGAAACAAATCCGCCTCTACCGCTAAATTTGCTGTGATTTTATAATCCGCACATATCCGTACGGTGCCATCTTTTTTAATGATCGGAACGATAGGCGTTCCCCAATGACTAAAATTAACCGGTTGTAAAATTCCCAACTTAACTAACCGCTCCAGTTCTTGCTCCACCTTGTCTTTAATTGCAAACGGTAACGGCCTAGGTTTATAAAATTTAGGCTGTGCTTTTTCTGAAATATTTAACCGTATGGTGCTCCTATTGAACAACCCTAACTGATCTGAAAAAACTGTCGGAAATTGCCCTAACAATTCCGCGACGCTCCCATTATTATTATTATTTGCGGACTCAATTTTATTTAAAAATTCCAGATTAAATTTGTAATAAAAATCTCGACCTAGTAAAGGTGGACCTCCGTTTCTAATGACATACAACTTCAACTTATGGCGCAAATCTTTAAACTTAATTTCTACTTCGACATAACCTAATGGTACAATTTTCTGTCCATTATAATTGGACAACCATTTACCGTCTGACCTTAATGCTAAATTACAAAAATGTTCACTCCAAAACTTTTCAGAAATTACCGACACAGATGCACCACTGTCAAATTCAAACCTTAACTTGTCCTCACCAACTTCGACTTCTACCTGAATTGGCGCGTACCTGACCTCGTTCGTCTGCACCCTGAACATGGTCTCTTCTGCCTCCGTCGACAAAAAATTATGACTTGACCTGCCACCTTTCTTTGAGCTTGAGCAAACCGCTGCTAAATGACCTCGAATTCCACAAATATGACATATGTAATTCTGATAACGACACTTACTGACATGGTGTCCCTTTTTACCGCAAACCTTACACCATAACTGCGATCCTGACTTGGCTGCTAGCTGGGAAGTAGCCCCAAATTCCGCCTTTCCTGTCACACGACCGTTGCCTCTTCTTAAACTTTTTGACTCTCTTCCCTGGCCTTGTGACTCTCTCCAACTTTTTTGATGAGACAACTGGAACATTTCCGCCTCTTCCTTCTTCCGGGACCTTTCTGAGTCCACTACATAACGGTGCCTCGACGCCTCCTTACTAGCCGCAATATCGACACTTTGCTGCAACGTGAGGTTACTCACATCTTCCTCCAATAAGCGATCTAAAATAACTCCTTCGCCAAGCCCCATGATAAAGCGATCTCTCAGTACCACTTGTAGTTCCGCCCCGAACTTGCACTTCGACGCCAAATGTCGGATTCGGGACGCCCACTCGGCTATCTCTTCGTCTCGCCCTCGTACTGCATGATAAAACTTATACCTCTCTGGGAAATGTAACTTGGGGGGGACAAAATGCTTGTCAAACAGTGTAATCAACTCCCTGAATGTTTTCTTCGTTGGATCTTCTGGAACACATAGATTCTCCAGCAACTTGTATGATTCTTCGGTGCAACAATTGATCAGTAGAGCTTGTTGAATTTTGTCGTCTGTGATGTTGTTCACCACAAAATATTGCGTCAACTGAGTATAAAAAATCTTCCAGTCCGAATTGAGTGTAAACTGCCTCAGATGACCCACATTCGTAAATCTTGCCTCACTTGATTTCGTATCTTCGCCGCCCATCTTGTTTTTTTTTCTTTCCAACGCTTAACTGCCACGTGGCCACCGCTTTTTCACTCTCTCTTTAACTTACGCCGATCTGTCCATAATTTTCCTCGTCGCCACTGTAGTGTTTCTTAAATAAAACTCCATAGTTTCCTTGCCTTATTTAATACCCGCGATTATATACAAATAAAGAAACACAACTTCTCTAACTTAACGCTCTATTCGACGGCCATCATTGCTCTTCTGCTGTGGCGCATGCTCTGCACTGGTGCGCCCACACCTATGCAACTACCTACACCACAGTTTCGTTGCACTTTCCGAGCCCGTAGGGTATCTGATTGGCTTAAAAGTACAAGAAAACACTTCAAAAGTGACGTTTCTGAAGTATTTTAACAGTTTTCTTGTATCTACGAACGCCAGAATGCATAAAATTGACCTAAACGTCTCCTTTTCCTATTCTGAGTCGATTCTGCATGCTTTAAGTGTGTTTGGTGGCTCAGAACCATCAAAAAACGTTGAAATATAGTTCAAATTCAATAAAAATCGACAAAAATACAGTTTCTAGCTAAAATTTTATGGTTTCGTTGCACTTTCCGAGCCCGTAGGGTATCTGATTGGCTTAAAAGTACAAGAAAACACTTCAAAAGTGACGTTTCTGAAGAATTTTAACAGTTTTCTTGTATCTACGAACGCCAGAATGCACAAAATTGACCTAAACGTCTCCTTTTCCTATTCTGAGTCAATTCTGCATGCTTTAAGTGTGTTTGGTGGCTCAGAACCATCAAAAAACGTTGAAATATAGTTCAAATTCAATAAAAATCGACAAAAATACAGTTTCTAGCTAAAATTTGATGGTTTCGTTGCACTTTCCGAGCCCGTAGGGTATCTGATTGGCTTAAAAGTACAAGAAAACACTTCAATAGTGACGTTTCTGAAGAATTTTAACAGTTTTCTTGTATCTACGAACGCCAGAATGCATAAAATTGACCTAAACGTCTCCTTTTCCTATTCTGAGTCGATTCTGCATGCTTTAAGTGTGTTTGGTGGCTCAGAACCATCAAAAAACGTTGAAATATAGTTCAAATTCAATAAAAATCGACAAAAATACAGTTTCTAGCTAAAATTTGATGGTTTCGTTGCACTTTCCGAGCCCGTAGGGTATCTGATTGGCTTAAAAGTACAAGAAAACACTTCAAAAGTGACGTTTCTGAAGAATTTTAACAGTTTTCTTGTATCTACGAACGCCAGAATGCATAAAATTGACCTAAACGTCTCCTTTTCCTATTCTGAGTCGATTCTGCATGCTTTAAGTGTGTTTGGTGGCTCAGAACCATCAAAAAACGTTGAAATATAGTTCAAATTCAATAAAAATCGACAAAAATACAGTTTCTAGCTAAAATTTGATGGTTTCGTTGCACTTTCCGAGCCCGTAGGTTATCTGATTGGCTTAAAAGTACAAGAAAACACTTCAAAAGTGACGTTTCTGAATAATTTTAACAGTTTTCTTGTATCTACGAACGCCAGAATGCATAAAATTGACCTAAACGTCTCCTTTTCCTATTCTGAGTCGATTCTGCATGCTTTAAGTGTGTTTGGTGGCTCAGAACCATCAAAAAACGTTGAAATATAGTTCAAATTCAATAAAAATCGACAAAAATAGAGTTTCTAGCTAAAATTTGATGGTTTCGTTGCACTTTCCGAGCCCGTAGGGTATCTGATTGGCTTAAAAGTACAAGAAAACACTTCAAAAGTGACGTTTCTGAATAATTTTAACAGTTTTCTTGTATCTACGAACGCCAGAATGCATAAAATTGACCTAAACGTCTTCTTTTCCTATTCTGAGTCGATTCTGCATGCTTTAAGTGTGTTTGGTGGCTCAGAACCATTAAAAAACGTTGAAATATAGTTCAAATTCAATAAAAATCGACAAAAATACAGTTTCTAGCTAAAATTTGATGGTTTCGTTGCACTTTCCGAGCCCGTAGGGTATCTGATTGGCTTAAAAGTACAAGAAAACACTTCAAAAGTGACGTTTCTGAAGAATTTTAACAGTTTTCTTGTATCTACGAACGCCAGAATGCATAAAATTGACCTAAACGTCTCCTTTTCCTATTCTGAGTCGATTCTGCATGCTTTAAGTGTTTTTGGTGGCTCAGAACCATCAAAAAACGTTGAAATATAGTTCAAATTCAATAAAAATCGACAAAAATACAGTTTCTAGCTAAAATTTTATGGTTTCGTTGCACTTTCCGAGCCCGTAGGGTATCTGATTGGCTTAAAAGTACAAGAAAACACTTCAAAAGTGACGTTTCTGAAGAATTTTAACAGTTTTCTTGTATCTACGAACGCCAGAATGCATAAAATTGACCTAAACGTCTCCTTTTCCTATTCTGAGTCGATTCTGCATGCTTTAAGTGTGTTTGGTGGCTCAGAACCATCAAAAAACGTTGAAATATAGTTCAAATTCAATAAAAATCGACAAAAATACAGTTTCTAGCTAAAATTTGATGGTTTCGTTGCACTTTCCGAGCCCGTAGGGTATCTGATTGGCTTAAAAGTACAAGAAAACACTTCAAAAGTGATGTTTCTGAAGAATTTTAACAGTTTTCTTGTATCTACGAACGCCAGAATGCATAAAATTGACCTAAACGTCTCCTTTTCCTATTCTGAGTCGATTCTGCATGCTTTAAGTGTGTTTGGTGGCTCAGAACCATCAAAAAACGTTGAAATATAGTTCAAATTCAATAAAAATCGACAAAAATACAGTTTCTAGCTAAAATTTGATGGTTTCGTTGCACTTTCCGAGCCCGTAGGGTATCTGATTGGCTTAAAAGTACAAGAAAACACTTCAAAAGTGACGTTTCTGAAGAATTTTAACAGTTTTCTTGTATCTACGAACGCCAGAATGCATAAAATTGACCTAAACGTCTCCTTTTCCTATTCTGAGTCGATTCTGCATGCTTTAAGTGTGTTTGGTGGCTCAGAACCATCAAAAAACGTTGAAATATAGTTCAAATTCAATAAAAATCGACAAAAATACAGTTTATAGCTAAAATTTGATGGTTTCGTTGCACTTTCCGAGCCCGTAGGGTATCTGATTGGCTTAAAAGTACAAGAAAACACTTCAAAAGTGACGTTTCTGAAGAATTTTAACAGTTTTCTTGTATTTACGAACGCCAGAATGCATAAAATTGACCTAAACGTCTCCTTTTCCTATTCTGAGTCGATTCTGCATGCTTTAAGTGTGTTTGGTGGCTCAGAACCATCAAAAAACGTTGAAATATAGTTCAAATTCAATAAAAATCGACAAAAATACAGTTTCTAGCTAAAATTTGATGGTTTCGTTGCACTTTCCGAGCCCGTAGGGTATCTGATTGGCTTAAAAGTACAAGAAAACACTTCAAAAGTGACGTTTCTGAAGAATTTGAACAGTTTTCTTGTATCTACGAACGCCAGAATGCATAAAATTGACCTAAACGTCTCCTTTTCCTATTCTGAGTCGATTCTGCATGCTTTAAGTGTGTTTGGTGGCTCAGAACCATCAAAAAACGTTGAAATATAGTTCAAATTCAATAAAAATCGACAAAAATACAGTTTCTAGCTAAAATTTGATGGTTTCGTTGCACTTTCCGAGCCCGTAGGGTATCTGATTGGCTTAAAAGTACAAGAAAACACTTCAAAAGTGACGTTTCTGAAGAATTTTAACAGTTTTCTTGTATCTACGAACGCCAGAATGCATAAAATTGACCTAAACGTCTCCTTTTCCTATTCTGAGTCGATTCTACATGCTTTAAGTGTGTTTGGTGGCTCAGAACCATCAAAAAACGTTGAAATATAGTTCAAATTCAATAAAAATCGACAAAAATACAGTTTCTAGCTAAAATTTGATGGTTTCGTTGCACTTTCCGAGCCCGTAGGGTATCTGATTGGCTTAAAAGTGCAAGAAAACACTTCAAAAGTGACGTTTCTGAAGAATTTTAACAGTTTTCTTGTATCTACGAACGCCAGAATGCATAAAATTGACCTAAACGTCTCCTTTTCCTATTCTGAGTCGATTCTGCATGCTTTAAGTGTGTTTGGTGACTCAGAACCATCAAAAAACGTTGAAATATAGTTCAAATTCAATAAAAATCGACAAAAATACAGTTTCTAGCTAAAATTTGATGGTTTCGTTGCACTTTCCGAGCCCGTAGGGTATCTGATTGGCTTAAAAGTACAAGAAAACACTTCAAAAGTGACGTTTCTGAAGAATTTTAACAGTTTTCTTGTATCTACGAACGCCAGAATGCATAAAATTGACCTAAACGTCTCCTTTTCCTATTCTGAGTCGATTCTGCATGCTTTAAGTGTGTTTGGTGGCTCAGAACCATCAAAAAACGTTGAAATATAGTTCAAATTCAATAAAAATCGACAAAAATACAGTTTCTAGCTAAAATTTGATGGTTTCGTTGCACTTTCCGAGCCCGTAGGGTATCTGATTGGCTTAAAAGTACAAGAAAACACTTCAAAAGTGACGTTTCTGAAGAATTTTAACAGTTTTCTTGTATCTACGAACGCCAGAATGCATAAAATTGACCTAAACGTCTCCTTTTCCTATTCTGAGTCGATTCTGCATGCTTTAAGTGTGTTTGGTGGCTCAGAACCATCAAAAAACGTTGAAATATAGTTCAAATTCAATAAAAATCGACAAAAATACAGTTTCTAGCTAAAATTTGATGGTTTCGTTGCACTTTCCGAGCCCGTAGGGTATCTGATTGGCTTAAAAGTACAAGAAAACACTTCAAAAGTGACGTTTCTGAAGAATTTTAACAGTTTTCTTGTATCTACGAACGCCAGAATGCATAAAATTGACCTAAAGGTCTCCTTTTCCTATTCTGAGTCGATTCTGCATGCTTTAAGTGTGTTTGGTGGCTCAGAACCATCAAAAAACGTTGAAATATTGTTCAAATTCAATAAAAATCGACAAAAATACAGTTTCTAGCTAAAATTTGATGGTTTCGTTGCACTTTCCGAGCCCG